CTATTTTACTGTTTTGCTTCGTAGATATCAAACACTGGAGCAAATATTAAAACAGATTCATAAAGTTGTGGGCCGAAAAGCAGCTCGGCACAGGCTATCCTTTAAAACAAGTGGCAGTGATTAAGCAAAGGAGTGAGTGATATCCATCCGTTTTAGGGGTATGCATCTTCGCGTTCTTAACCTGTAGCCAACCATAGATTGAGCTAACTCGAGGGTCAACTCTGTCCTTGTAGATTTTCGTACACCCTCAAGTTAATACGAAAGAGCCTCTTTCCCTCTCTTCTCGATGACTGCAAAAAAAAGCAAGTACAATAAATGTGGCTTCTTCAAACCGATATCTCTGCAAAAGATTAATTGCATGATTAAGTTAAACAAAAAAAAAAAAACCTAATCTTTGGAAACCCCCCCCCCCCCCCCCCACCCACCTTTCCAAAAAGACAAAAACTCGGAATTTTATTTATATATAGTTGCACCTCCTTATAAACGTTCCTCTGCACAAAAAAGTTAGTATATAAGACGCTTCTTGTACGGTCGGCGTAACAGAACTGCATCAGTAAGCCTGCAACTATTCTGATATTGATGTACTTACGTGCAAGCAGGAACCGGCTTCAATATTCTTGTCAGCAAATCTAACAAGAAATATAGCCCTCATGGCAAATTCATTTCATTGTGCCGGTCGTCACTTCTACAGGAAGGTGCCATACTGCCGGGCGCAGATTATGAGGAGAAATCGATCCGCGGTACACAAAGGCTACATCTGACAGATGTAGGCCTTCTTCGGACTGCTGGCATTGGCGAGTGTTCTGCTTTTCCTTCTTTGTCATAAATGCCAATGCAGCCTACATTTTGTGCAGTTGATACTTGCAAAATTTCGTCATTATAGCAAAGGCATACAATTTGGTCTAAAGAATATGACTTGTATGTCGGAAAATATGGTACTACCAACCTTGTTTTTATCAGGCTAAAGAGAGACACTGCCCCATCAAGAAACCTTGGCCCCCGAACTGTGTGGCAATGCGGGCAGGAATGCAAGCATCCTGGCAACTCGGCCTGTTTTGAAAGTGAGATTTATTTTGTGTGTTTATGAGAGATAGAGGGTTGTAAAAAATTATTAGCTCACGTCAGTCAGATCACTTGGTTAATTTAATCCTTTGTGCATGTTTTATCCTCTTATTATTGACTGGACACTTTCCTTTTCTCTGGACTCATTCACGTCTCGACACCTATAATGTATTTTAACTGCAAGTAGCTCTGTGAAGAATGTCACAAATGCACAATAAAATTTTAAGTTTTTCAAATAACATTTGTGAAGTGTGGATTCACTTGTTGAAGTTACGAAGTGGCTAACTGGAAAGAGAGGCTTAATGCATGCTATTTACTTCGTGGCCCATTTAAAGTGAGTGCAACCGAACTCCAAAATTAATTGGCAGTTCAATTGTGTTTTTATAGCTGAATTACCAAGTAAGTAACAAACAAACCTCAGACTGGCAGCCAGCATTCCACTAAAAGGCTTATCTTTTTCAGCCCTGAAGAATCTAAGTGTCTTAGGAAAAACTGAATCCTTTATGAATTATCTCTACCAGTTTCTACAAACTTTGTACTTTGTTTAGACTTACCAATGCGCCATTTTGCACAGTTTTTTACTCGAGAAACAAGCTGTGATGCAGCAATCTAGTAAATGTTTGTGCCACTTTTACCACATCCCACAGAGAATGACATGATTAAAAAAGGTGCAGAAAGGATGGGACAAAACTAGGAGCATACAGGACAGGCACTGATGAACAACTAAATGTTTACTGGAAAATTCTGCACACGTACAGTGTCCCGCACATGCTCTGTAGCCCGTTAAAAGTGAACATTCTCCCATAGCACAGCTAGAGCCCTGCACGGGCCGGATTTTCTAGGCCCGGCCCGACCCGGCCCGGCAGAGGCACGGCCCGGGCCCGGCCCGAGCCCGACAGAATATTTAATTTCTAGGCCCGGCCCGACCCGGCCCGGAAGAGACATAGCCCGGCCCGGGCCCGGCAGAATTATTAGACAGAAGTTCGAGCCCGGCCCGAGCTTGACAAAAATGTTATAAATATAACCTTGAGTCCGGCCCGAGCCCGACAGTTTATATTCATGAGCCCAAAAAAGTTTGCAGGCTTTAACCTAAATACTGTGAAAAAGCGAGCGTATTTGATTTAAATTTCTTTTGGACTTGGATCGAGATTTTTTGACACAATAAATATCCCGACTTGGTGTATTTTTGAGAATATTGGAGAATATAAATATGCAGCGTATAAGTGATTTAAAGAAAAAAAAAGTGCCATATTCTTTATTTATGGATTTCTTGAAAAGATATCGGGCTTTTCGTTGTTCGATTCGTTTCAGAGAACTTTTCTCTCTACATGTTTTTGTAAAGAAATAATCCGAATCACGCTAGTGCATATTCAAAAAGCTGTATAAGCATAAAAATATCTATTTAGCTTATTTTTGGCGGCATAGTAGGGCTCCCTGCAAAAGAGCAAAATCAAGCTCACGTTGTTTTTCTTGTGTTCAGTTTGAAACGCAGAGGAAAAATACACTCATGTTGTACCCTGCGACTGGAGTGCCCTCGGTTTCTTGACCGTACTTTCCCACTATGGTGGAGGAATCCATACGTTTCCTTTTATCCACGTGAAAGCTTTCCAAGTGCAAGACGTCTTTCTTTTTTTTTTTTTTTAACAGCAGCTTAGTAATTTTGCATTTCACTTGTTTGTTTTTATTGAACCGAGAAGATCAATGAGCAGCTTTGTTGTTATCAACAATGTAAAATTTGTGGCACACGACTGCCCAGCCACGGCCCGGAAAATATTTTGTTCAAGCCCGAGCCCGGCCCGGGCCCGAGAAAATGTGTGCTACCCGGCCCGAGCCCGGCCCGCGGGCCGGGCTGGGCTCGGGTTTTCGGGCTGGCCCGGGCCCGTGCAGTGCTCTAAGCACAGCATCCTACGGGAGGGTATCTGGTTATCTTGCCTCATATGTTTGGTTTTGTGCAGAGTTATTTGAAGGGAGAATATCGAGCAGTTGAGCACTCGTGGCTTATAGATGGCGCCAGGCATCACCCTATTAAGAGGGGAAATCCTCGCAGACTGTGGTGTGTCCAGCCTTTCATACTGTTCAGTCCCTGTCCACGTCGAGGTCATTGTATCTTGGTGGAGTGATATGCATTCTCCCATAGCACATCATCTTGTGGGAAAGCTTAGTAGCATGACTTCCTGTGAAGATGGCCTTTCTGCCAAATTGGGAGGCCGGAAACTGCCCTGTTGGCTATTGTTTGCCTGACGCTGCCTGCAGTTCTGAAGCCAGTCTTTGGAGCGTGGCACAGATCACACCTGCAGGGTAGCTACCGACTGGAAGAGGTCATTGTGTTTTAGTTCAGCTGATGCCTTGCTTCTGTTGCATTAAAGTGTTTGGTTTCTTACGTTTCTGACGTGGACAACACATTGGCCGAGACACTGTTGATTCCACCCCCGTCTCTTCCCGACGCCAGAGTTGCTGCCTGTTGAGATTAGGTTGCAGCGCTCACAAATACTAAGACCTGTTGGCGGGGAGAAGTCTTAAGGGGAGACAAAACGTAAAACCCTGCATCACTGGGCATGAAGGTGCTTACTTGTCTGGCAGTTCCTGATGAGGAAGCTTCAGGAAACTGTTTCCTGATGATCCTTCATCAAAGTGTTCCTGCCAGAACATACCGTTTTTACTCGAGTAATAGCCGCTCTGTTTATGAAGGAAACCTGAGGGTTCGCTTTTCCGCGGAGCACGCAGTTTGCCAATCACCACGACTGGCAGCACGATTCCAGCGGCTTACAGGACAGAGATAATGTCTATGTGCGAAGACACCAGGGATGGGCAGTATTTCAAATACAAGTATTTGAAATATGTATTTCAAATACTTTGTGTATTTTCCATTTGTATTTAATTACAAATTGGGTAATGTATTTGACGTGTGTATTTAAATACTAAAACGTGGGTATTTCAAATACAATTGTAATTAAATACAATTTTGTGGGCGAAAATACATCCCTCAAATTTATTGTCACTGTCCAGAGCAAGAAGAAAACCATGTCCTGCACCGAATGCAGTGTCTCTCAATCAAGCACAAGCGTTTGGTGACTTTGCGATTACGGTGCTAGTCCAGGGCAAGAATAGTGACGGAATCGATGTTCACAGGCAGACTGGCTAAATAAGTGCCTGTGACAGCTTGTGAGCTTTCCAGCCTGATTTGCCTGGAACATTCTAAATGCGCGGGTCGTCCAAATTTTTGTAACTGGTGCGAGTTGCAACAATAAAAAATTCTCTAGCTAGTGCTGCGCGTCTTGGTTGTCTCGGTTCTTTGTTGGTCTATACCAAAATGTAATCGACAAAAAAAGCTGCTTGAAGCTCTGTACTTTTTTCACCTATTACGTCCAAGCTGATTACATTTTTTTTGTGATTATATTTCTATTATGTTACTAGAGCCTCGCACACTAACTCCCGAGTGTGCAATGCAAAATTATAATGAGATACCCAGAAACCCGTTGCAGGTGCCCTGAAGTCGCTCACGCAGATTTTGAGGAATGTATTTGGAAAAGTATTTGGAGGAGATCAAATACATTTGGTTGTATTTGTATCTTGTATTTAAATACTTTTTTTGGAAATGTAATTAGATTTGTAATTAAATACTTTTTGACGAAGTATTTTGTATTTGTATTTCGATACATATTTGCATGTATTTTGCCCATCCCTGGAAGATACCATCTGTGAAGATTGCATTTGTATGGAGAATCGTGTTCTCTATTTGGTTATTCGCTATGTTGTTTATGCGCAGCGCAATGATCGGCTGTATATGTGTTCTGCGGTAAAGTAGACGCAAGGGCCTTGTTCGTAAATAGTGCGGCTATTACTCGAGTAAATACGGTACTCATGTTAGCTGTGCACGCTCCAGTGTGGGTTTGAGTATCAAGCAAATCATATTGCTTCATATGTTTGGTTATTTGCAGAGTTCTTTGACGATGGCCAAGACTCGTCAACAGGTTTGTACAACCTTTACAATCCATTTCGTTTCGTCCGTCACAATATCACATAGCTGAATGTAAACATTCAACACAAGTGTGTCTCGTTGGATGAAGCTAGAATTAAAGAAGGACTTGAAACCAAGCCCTAAAACTGAGACTATCCCCTGGAAGAGGCTGTTCATAGAATCATGGCACATTCGGGCAGCACTCTATTTGGCGTCAACTATGTGATGCTACACTGTCAAGGTGTAGCATAGCCTCCACAGTGTTGCAGCCCCGCACTGCTGAGCACGTGGCTTCATGTTGCGTCTCATTCGCATGAATTGCAGACTTTTACAGGAGTTGGAGTGCTGCAACAGCTACGTGTAGCATCAAATAGTTGACGCCGAGCATAGGAAACATCAGTCAGTCTATTGGCACTTCACCATCTGTCTACATCAATGGCTGTGTCTATTACCAAGAAGAGAAGCAGACTATGACCATAAAAGAGAAAGACAGACTAGTGCTCCTCATGGAGTTACATCACCCCTGAAGAAGAGACCAAGTTGGGCTTGAAACATTTAGTAGGACTTTTCAGTGTCGGGGCTTGGTCAGAGTCTTTCCTTTTATTCTGGTACTATACCTATCGTGAATGCTCAGCTGCATTTTCATTGTTGTGCTGTGTAATTTGTGTTTGTAATCCAGTGTTTCAGCTCAGCTTGGGTAATGCCTCAGTGCTGTGATTTTTTATTTTAATTTTATATATGCCTCATGTTTATAATGATGAGCCTGGCAGAGATCTTGAACAGTCTGAAAGTATTTCATGAATATAAAAAAAAGTTTGAGGTGCTTTACTCTTTAGTTTGGCGGTAACATTTATCTTCTTACTGGCTTAACATAATCTCATCCTTTTACCAGTGCCCGCTCCCACCTCAAGTACTCTGGGAGAATGTAAGTATAGTAATGTTTCTTTTTAATTTTGTGGAATGTCTGTAAATTGGGGTCATTCACTTTTAAGAAATCCTTGCCACTTCGGTTCCCTCTGTAGTTTCAATTGTTGGAACGAATGGAGAGGAATTTAGTGGTGATAAAAATATACAATTGTTAGTAGAGAGTTTTAGGAAAGGGGGCCCCAACACTTTGGGTTCCCCGGGCAGCTAGCTGGAGCATAACACGAAGCTTGCACAGGACTTGTGCACATGCGGAGTGTGATGCCTTAAGCTGCTTGATTGGCCCAAAGTGTTGTGGCCCTCAATTCTAAAACTTAATGTTGTTAATGACCTCTAATTTTTGTGAGGACCAAGCATGCACAAATAACCGATCCTGAAAAGATTTCACCTTGCCAATTAGAGCCCAACAGGGGCATCGCCGTTGCCCGCCTTTCAGTTCTGTAAAGTTTGCTGCCTGCAATGTACAAAAAGTTCCCGAGAAAAGAGAACCATGTTTTTTGGCTTGGGTAAATAAGCTGTGCATCGCAGAAAGCTTGAGCTTTTTGAGAATGTGAGGCTAGCTGCTGGGATAGAATGCGAAAGTTTGAGAATGTGACGTTACCTGCATCAAAAGATACTTGATAAAAAGGAAATTCCACAATGAGCCAACATCCACCTAGGCCTAATGTCATCCAAACAAGGAACAACATTTGGGTACCATGTAACGTCTGTTGCAGTGAAAGGAACTTGTCAGCAGGAAAGAAAACAACATTCTCTTTCTTGCTGCCAAGGGTTTTTCACTGATATAAATCCCACAAACTTTCACAGTATTATTATTTGTTTTGACGATGTAAAGCCTGGTTCAGACAGTTGCGTTTGACTGCTTTCCGGCTGCGAGAAACCAGGATTTTCCTGTTACTTATATCGCGTGCCAAGATGATTCCTTGAATTGGATTCCACGCCTCATACGAAGCGCAGATGTGCCGGTGACTCGCTTTCGGTTCTTGACGCAACGCAGTCAAACGCACTCAAATGCAAGTGTCTGAACTGGGCTTTAGGCTTAGTTGGACGTTGCCTCGTAGAGAAGTCTAGTTTTTTCTCAATTATATTTTGATCTAGGCAATGTCATGTTTTCAAATTTTGGTGTTCTCTCCCAACCGCTATTGTCACATTCTCGCGGAGTTTGAGCTTTGTGCGATGCATAGTTTATTTACCCGGGTTGAAAAAACGTGGTTCTCTTTTCTCAGGAACTTCCTGGGTACCTCATTCTTCCTGGAGCCAAATTTGGAAAACGTGACTCTGAGTGACCATTTGGCTCGGTGGTGATGAATTCATTCAGAGTATAAAAGGTGGACCCAATAAAACATTGTCTTTTTGAAGGCACTGCATGAACTGGTTTCTTAACAGACCGCTATGTAATTTAGCACAAAAGTGTATTCAGTTGGTGAATTCTTCTACAGTGCAATCCACTTGTAACGACGTACCGCTTTTAACAATCAGTTTCTAGAGTTTCTAGACTAGAAATATTCAGTTTCTAGTCCAGATACAACAATAATCGGTTATAATGATTGCATTTTAGGGTTTTCTCATTATTGTCATTAGTGGATTGCACTGCAGTAAAATTATGGAGGGATTTGCTCACCTGAGGAAAAAGAGTTCCTATAGAACCATCAAATCACATGGTTGGCTATTTAGTGTTAATGCTGGCAAAATGACGAGAATATATAAAGTTAGCCAAATTTATTATAATTTTCTTGCACTCTCTTTTTGTTTAGGCCACTCGTGCAGCAAGTGCAAGGCCGGTAATGCGAACATGCGGATGATATTCTTATCATTCGCGTTTTCGCCTCTTCGACCTTGCGCCTGCTGCATGTGTGGTAACTTAAGCGCACCCCTGCACTTTCCACGTGCATCAAGCCCTAGAACTGACCGATCTAGAAGTTTTCAGCGACGCTCAACAAAGTTCTAGTAGGAACCCTAGGTTTATTTTCACTAATTAAAAAGTTGATTAGTGAATCGTAGGTAAAAATCTTGCAAATTATTTTTTTTTTTTTTTTTTTTTGCAATCCCCGACGTTTGTTGTCGTCAGTTTCTTCTTGTGAGGAGTTCATTTTTTTTTTTCTCAAACGCCCTATTTTTAGGGACGTCCGAAAGTCTGCAGAAACACCTACTACATAAAAAAAAGAAGTAGAAATGACGAGGCCTAAATTGATGTGAAGTTTAAAGCCGAGTTTCACGGTGTCCCTGCAGCTCCAACAAATTCAAGACTTTCAACGACTTCAGCAGCTGTGTGTTTGTGACTTCCAAGACGTTTCGGTGCTTGCAACCCCTGCTAAGTTTCCAGGGCATCAATTTATTACTTTGAGCATTTTTTTTTTCTTTCTAGCAACACAGTCATTGCCACCTGAACCACCGACTACTGACTGTGCCAAGGAAGTAGACATCGATTCGGTCGAAGTAATAACGGGCATAGACGCGGACAAAAGTATTGATGCATGTTTGGCAAGTCCTCCAGCATCACCAGCTTTCGAATACGGTAAGAGCCCGTGTTTCTTCAAAGAGCACCAGAACCATTTTCTTCCAAAACAATTGGCCTATTGCGTTTTTCATACCGTATCCACCTTGGCTTTTTGTTTCCCGATGAAAGAGAAATGATCGAGCGTTTCTATCAGTGTGAAAGACACTTAAGTCTTAATTGGCATGTGGTTTGAGCGCATTTTTCGTATTGTTCTATATTGTACATTGTAGAGTCGTGGCCATGGGATCAGAGCAGCACGTAAACACGGGAAATTGGTGTATCGAATTTTTGTTTCCCTCGAGTTTTTGTTTCTGCTATTCTGTCCTATTTCATCTGGTTAGAACCAGTCTTCGAGCGGTGGTTAGGGTAAGCAGACAGTTTATACTTATTCGTTATCACAATGCGCCGAAGTGCCGTCAAAGGTAGGGAGCGCGCGCTAGAAGCGGACCAACAGAAACTCCGCATTGCTATTCTCAAGTGTGCCTCAAGAAGCAGTCTCTGGCTACACAGTCTGGAACTGGTAACATGGTGGCTCAATGACTTAATCCCAATCATATGATATGTGTATGTAGTAGCTAATTTTTTTCCAAGATGCAGGGGTGGAACGGCTGCGCCATTTGTGCCAATATTTTGTCTTGGGTTCGGTTTTTATCGACCCGATTGGCAACAATGAGCGCGTTTAGCTTTGTCGGCCTTGCAATCTTTTGTTCTGTTTATGCTTTTTGTGTATCCTGAGTTGGAAACGCGCGAAAAAACTCTGGGGTTGGTTTCCAAGCGCTACACAACCTGCGACTGGATTGTTATTCTTCAACCATAAGCGGTTAAGCAAGTCGGCCGAGGTGAGGTCGAGGCGTTAGGCGTCAGATTGCCTGAGGATGGGGCCCAGGATCCGGACGTCAGCCAGTTGAAAACAAATAAGCAAAAGATTCCTTTTAGTACTTCATCGTTAGAAGTTGGAACCGCGTTCTCGCAAGATAAATTGTGATTTGATAGAACTGAAACGTGTAATAAACCTGTACATATAAGTTTCATTCACATGTATTCTCTAGTTGTTAACATACAGCTGAGGAGGCAGACAGCACTTGGATGCGCGGGCCTTTTGGCTGCCCCAGGGCCTGTATGGAAGTAAAGCCAATAAACTCCTTTGTCCGATCCGAAACCTTGCCGGCCAACAGCTTTCACGCGAGCGGTAGATCTGCTCGGCGTTTGTTAACCTCTGCTTATCGCTTCCAGTACAAAAACTCCGTTAATCGTAGTCTGCTGCTTCGATATTGAGTTGTTGCAGAACAGGATAAACTTGAAGTTTGTTGCCCTATTCCTCCGTGCAACTGCACGTCCGTTGCTTAGGCACGTCACGTGGTTCGCACATATAATTACTATGTCGAGCACATTTGGATTGTGCGATAAGCAGTGCTAGTTTCTATATTGAGCAGTTGAAAGCCACTCAGAAAATATCAAGAGCACTATCTTCAGAAACATATGGTACTTGCTTTTTTATTCTGATTATGACTTACAAAGTTTCAAGTTTTCGCATCTATTACACTGTTATCCCACCTACCTAGGTCCCACCCAGTCATGTTCATCTATGCTGCTAAGCACAATCGAAATTGCTCCCGTGCTTGTCTAAGACACAAACTGAAGTGCAATGAAAACTGATCTGAGCTGCTCCTATAGCCTGCTCCAGATTGTAGTTTTAGCTGCTCCCAACCTGCTCCAAAACAGCTGTTTCAGCTGCTCCCGTGGCTGCTCCCAAGTACATTTCATGAGTTCCACCCCTGAAGATGTGAAGCTTGCACACACACAGCCTTGCTTCCCTATTTGCTGTGAAACATACTAGTACTCTGTTATACTCACATTTTTCATTAAAGGGGCGATGCAACAATTTTTGTACTTTGCGCAAATACCGCTTAGAACGGATCCCTGACGTTAATGACCTATGAAACACGCGTTCGTTTTTCACCCCACGCAATAGAAGTCCCAGAAAAAAAATTAAAGAAAAACGAGCAGCGTTCATTCCCTCAACTCGCAGCTAGAACAAGCGGCCACGTGATCGGAGCCGATCATATGCCACCAATGTTCATCATAGCCACGCGCTGGGGTTGGCAAAGAACAGGACACACGCTGAGTTCCCGACATTGTTATGGCTCGGCTATTGTCGTCGTTGCAGCGATGGGACACGGGCCACTGCCCGAATGCTTCTCGAGCTAGTAATTATCACGAGCCCAAATCGAGTGCTCACGCGATGCTCGGGTCCAATCTATGAACCGCATCTAAACATCGTCATTGGGGTGTACTGCGATCCCCACGTTACGTCATCAAATTTTGCAAAGGAGAGATTAAATGAAAATGATCGCTTTTGTCCTTAAAATTACACCGCAACAAAGGGGCTTCTTGGCCAGTGGCGTTGCGTGCGACTCTCCTTGAGTCACACTAAAAGTGAAAAACATTCCAATTGAATATTGTTGCACCGCTCCTTCAACTTTGTTTTTTTGTGAAATCTAAAACTATCATAAGTTGGTCCAGCTAGTAATTTATTTAACAAATCCACAAGTCACTTTGCTCCCGATCCCGGAGTTCTGTTTCCGTGACAGGGTGACACGAATCATAGGCACTCCCAAAAATTTCTTGGGGAGGGAAAAGGGGGGGGGGGGAGGGGAAGGGATTGGGGCATGGTTCCCTTTGGCGATGCCGGGCTCTCCCTCCCCCCCCCCCCTTCCCCCCTCTCTCCCGAGCTCTTCGGAAAAGCAAGTACCATTGCCTCTGGAACCTCTGGGTGCACCTTATTGTGCGCCCTGGTGCCCATACATACTGTGCGCCCTAGTGGCCATACATATCGATAGCTGGTGCCCAGTGGATAAACAAAAATTATCTGCGTGCCCTGGTATCCGCACATTTCGATAGGTGGCGCCCAGTGGATAAAAAAAATTTATTCACTCGCCAGCTCTGGTCACTAAGTGACCAGAGTTTGTGAGTCAATAAATTTTCCTCACTATTCATGCATTCCTGTTCGAAGACCCCATGTACAGGGTGTTTAGCAGCCGGGAATCGTCAGGGAAATTTTTATTACCAGGAAAACTCGGGGAATTGTCAGTGATATTGTCAGAAAGCGAGCCCAGTCAGGGGAAATGGGTCGGAAGCGCCATAGAGTGTCCTGAGGAAAGATTTTATGACTTGGGTGCAGAAAAATAGGGGAGAAATTCTGCTTAGAGCGGATTGCAGGCTCTGCTCATCCGATGTAGAGTTGGCTACCCGATGCAAAGGGAAAGGCCGACAAATCCAGCCCAAGCCTTCGATTGGATTGGATTGAGGGCGCGACACTAGGCTAGGTCCATTTAGAGCTGTTAAATTTAGCAACAAATGTGAAAGTCGCAGACCCCAATTCAATCCAAGCCTTAAACCGAAAGTGTGCATCTGGCAGCCATGCTGCCATGCGGTTATTGACGTGTGTGTTTGAGCGTCGTGTTTTCATTGTGTTTCCGGAAGTGGCCTCTTCACTGACGATGTCAGCGACAAGAAAGCGCTTGTTTAATCCGGACTGGATAAACCTGAATAATTTGGAATATGCAAGTTGGATTAAGCCCGTGCAAAATGATCTTCACAGTGCTCAGTGCTCAATGCCTTGTGTTGTAATGGTCTTATATATTTAATTGCCTCTACAGTAGTCAAGGAATTTCACCTGAAATTGTCAGGGAAAACCTGGAAAAGTAGGGGAATTTCAAAATAATAATTTGCTAGACAGCAGATGTAGTATTAGCAAATACGATAAAGGCTAGTGCTGGAAATTCCTTCAAAAGCCATTGGATGTAGTTGCAAATGATGACAGTGACACCTCTCGCGGACCTGCAGCCTACGGAAATAGACGACATAGTATGTTTTGTAAGCCCCATATTGTTTTCCCTAACGTTGAAACAATCCATTACGGTCAGTGCGCTTGAACCACGGAATTCACTGATCACAACTGCAACGACCGCTTAATTGTAGGGTCACAAGAGCAGACATTTGTTTAGGTATCGTGCCGCCAGCATGCTTATCCTATGTTATCGAGGAGATTACACACGTTTGGGATGTCTCTTTCAAGAGACGTCCTAATTCTGAAATTGAGAACTTTCCGCCTACGACACTAATGACGACGAAGTCGAAGAGAAAATTGGGAAAAACGAAAGCTTAATCGGTCAAAATTGTGTGTACAAAGAACTTGCAAACAAATAACCAGTGAGATGCAGTCCAACTGACTGCCCTGCTTGATCAGCCCTGCCTTTCCCTTGCATCACTGCACTGTAGTTCCTAGAAGCGTAGGACGCTTTAGAGTCACTCTTTACATGCGCGGCAATGCTTCAAAAAGTGCACTTTACAAAACTTTGGAAACATCCAACTCGACAAAGGCTACTGGCCCGAAGTATGCCACTGAGAGTGTGTGAGGGAGGCATGTTATAACACTACACACATCTCTCCGCCACTGCTAGTGCAAACTAACGCTTTCCCCCAACCATCCACTGCTAACAATATTGATAAGTTTAGAGCATTACTAAGCGAATATTTGGATGACGTGCGGTGCTAATGTTTCCGAGATGACAATGTGCTTCTCGTTTATTTAATTTTCTGTATATAACTTTTGATTCTATCTACATATAGTAACTATATTGTTCTTGAGTGTATGACTTCCGTCATTCTTGAGTGTATCTGTTACTTACCTGTATACAATTTTCAGCAGCCCATCCCTCGTGTAATGCGCAAGGCTGAGGCCTTGAAGGTGCTATTAATTAATAAATTAATGAAGTGGATGCACTCTAATGCTCTCATTGGCTCTCCAGGGCTATCAGCATTTTTCTCTTGCCAAGTGACATTGAAATGGAGTGTGCGGTATAAGAAGTTCTTATCTGTGTTCCCTTTTTGCTCTCTCTCTCTCTCTCTCTCTCGCTTTCTTTTTGTAGAACAATCACCTGACAATAGACTGTCAGATCCTTCAGAGGAGGATGCTTGCCCTGACGACTCTCATCTCCAAAGTGACGGCGTCGAATCGCACGCTTCCGAAGGCAATGACCTCGATTACAGCAGCCCGGAATCCGACAGCGACGACGAGGAGGCGACGATGATGAACATTGACACGTTGCCGGTAGAGGAGCTCCGCACGTCGCTTCGCAATGTTTACCGGAAGTACCGTCGATTAAAGGCCGTTCATTCGGAGACGACACAACTGCTCGAAGAATCCTCCGGCAAGGTGGAACGGCTTGAAGCCGCTCTCTCCGAGCTAAGGTTGGAGCATCGTGACGCGAGCTAAGCTTGGATGTAGACGAAGGAAGGGAAAGTTTCCGGAACCGTTGACTTCGACTTCATTATGCATGTCGCATCATCCGTGTCGGAAGTGTGAAAACTTTGTGAGGTGGGAACGCATACAAGTGAAGTGTTGTGTCAAGCTTGAAGGCGAGCTGGAATAAAAGTTTTGCCTGTTTTAGAGCAATGGCTTTATGTGGCTATCCTGCGCAGGGGTGATGCGCGAAAGCACCCGATGTCGAAGACCTTGTGTCAAATGCCCCGTCCTCTCTGCCGCGCTTTTTAAAGATTTTGTTTCAGAAGCCCATGACGCGAATCCACCATGCCAGGTGGCCGGGTCCTCAATCTGACGGCGGAGCATTTCGATTTTAACTAAGAGACGGTAAGTGTGCACGTTACCTTGCATAATGTAATCGCGTGACGTGCCCGGGACTCGAATCGGGAACAACTGGATAAAACTCCGTTTTTTATGCCTGCACTAAACACATTCACGTCTTGCAACACTAAAAGTGAAAACGAATAGAAAATATCAGTCGCATGGCAAAACATTTGAAGTGGCGACTTTTATCAATAAGCATTGAAGCAAAGCTTTCGTCGATTCTGAAGCAGGTGTGGACTCGCAGATCGAGAAAGTGGGTTCTATCATAACTGCTAAGCTGCAGCTTGTGGCTCCAAGTTTATCACAGCACCAAACACCAATTCCATTCTTATGTCGTTAAAAAAAAAAAAAAAAAGATACTTATAAAGTCTAAATCTGCATGTGAGCTCCCTCCATGACAGCAGAGTGCATTGCTGGTGATGCAGATTTATGCAATTGGTCACTTGTACGTCATTCTAAGTTTTTCGGCGGTTCAAGTTAACCTTGTACATAGCTTCCAAGTGTCTCCATTATTTGGTACGGACGGTTCTACGTACTGGTTCCTTCGAACTTCAACTCCTGCGGTGTGCAACTAAATACCTCGAACCGAACGCACGCGGCGCATAAAATACTGCCATGGCCGCGAATGATGTCACGGGCAAGCTATGAATTTTGTTGTTTTCACTTAAAAGAGCCTTTGTAGACCCTCAATCGATAGGGTTAAGACATGTAACAATGATGGTTAAAGTGCGAAGAGGGTGCGATGGGGACAGTGAGGGCGGCTTCATTGGTACTTTTAGTGTAACTTCTGTTGAGACCGGTTATAACGAAGCCAACGGGAATCAGAAATCACTTCCCTATATCCGCTATTTCGTTATAACCGACTTCGGTTTACGAAGTGCAAAAGGGAATGGAAAATTGTGCTTGCTTCGCTGTAGCTACTATTTCGTTATAACCGATCTTGACAGTAGCTGGGGCCCCGCTATACGACCAGATCTTTACGACAGGCACCTGTGAATTTTCTAAACTTTAGATTATATATATATCGCCTCAAAAAGGCCCATTTGGTTGAATCTTGGCATTGTGCACTGATAGTATCTCGGAGGTTTCGCGATATTTCTCATGTTCGTGGTCTGTTCTTGCGGGTTTGTTAGCTTTGTTGAGTTCGCTTCTTATGGCGTACTCGTGTACTGCAGTGAAGCGGCAGGTATCGCGATTTTGCTTATCTTGCTCCGCCGCAGCACATCCGGACGCTAAGAGGAAAGCACTCCTTCAGAGCGGAACCTTACGCACGATTTCCGATTAAAAACCTCCGCCAGTACATATGACAGACTGCACTATTCTGATCATATATTTTCAAATTCGAGATTTACTATGGACGCTTGGGTATTGCTAGAAGATTTGTAAAGACGACTATGGATTCTTTTTTTTTAATGTTAGCTCTTGTTTAGTTAGCAGTTTTATATCCATCTGTTCGATGGCAGTGCATAGAGTAAGACCGATATTAGCCTGAGCAGTGGTTGGAAGCATAGGAATAGCCTTAATGTTTGGCGGTTTTGTTTTTAAGAAGGCATATTGATCGTCCACGTGTTGATTTTTGTTATACAGTTCTATATGTAGAATGTCATTGATGTTCATATTCAAGCAACAAAAGCTTGAAACTTTTAGAACTTGAACGAAACATCAATTCAGGTATTTGAAATTATTCTATTCTAACAATGTTTATGTGTGACATACTATTTGGTTTACCACTTATTTCTCACCTAAAACCATTGACATGATGTCCTTCACCAATCGTAATGTTGGTTCTCTGTCCTGTGCTCCTAAGCGCTACTAAACGGCTAGTCCTGTATTTGAGGGAATCAAACCTGCCAAACAATTTATGCTAACAAAAGGCTGGACAGAAGTAGGAAAGTAGGCATCGTATTTCAATTAGACAGGCTAACAGGTGGATCTTGACATAGATTGTTGCGCCAGACTGCCACAAAGAGGTTGCCCTCCTACATCATGTTGCATCTCACCAAAATATGAGGAATATGCGCCTCCGTTGTGCCAAGTTTTTTTTTTATTTTTTTATTTTTATTAACATGGGAAATTATAGTTTAGGTGTTGCTGCACTGCCGAATTGTTATGGTAACCTTGCGCGAATTTCCAATACTTTAAGTTATCGCACAGAATTGCGTATGATTTGATTTAATGTTGGTATCGAAGACGAGTACCTACTTGTAAGATCCGCGATATTTGTCTTCGTTCCCTGTCTGGGCGGTTTAATAGACCGTTCTCACCAGCCAGTTTGACTACGCCACCGCTGCCGCAATGCATCGAGGGAAGTTTAGTCTTTCTGCACGCGCGACAACCTCGCTGGAGCACTGCGCGTGTAAAGCACGAGAGGGCACGAGCCCTCGCGTGCACGGCCGTATGCCTCCTGAGAACTAAAGTTATGGCGGCGTCACGCATGCGCCGAACGCTTAGGGAGATCGGTCTATTAGCTCTGTTGAGTGCGCTTCTCATTACGGGCTGGTGCACTGCGGAGGAGCTACACCCGCGGAATAGCCATTGCGATTTTGTGTAGTATGTCGCTTTGCCGCTGCGCAGTCTTGTGTTAAGGAGTAAAACACTCCTCCATGGCGGGATAGTGCACAACAACGTATCAAGCATAATATATATATATACGGCATATATAGTACTTTGTGAATGCAGATTTCACATCTACTTTGCAGTAAAATTCGCAAAATATAACTCTTATTAGTTTATGACTGGCTGCGACATTCGGACCTGTTGCGTGCATCTTTTATGTTTTTTAACACAAAATATGTTGTACGCACCTGGCTTCTCCGTCGTATCGGCTTGTGCGAAATGTGCGTTTCGATGCGCAGAGCCCGATCCAGTGCTTACAGGCAAGCAGTTGAAGCATGTATGTTTTTCCCTTTCTTGTTGTCCTTTCGTCTTCGGTTTAAATCATGTGTAAGCGTGGATGGATGGATGGCTGAATGGATGGATGGATGGATGGATGGATGGATAGGTATGGCTGTATCCAAAACTATGATTCATCCCGTTGCCCTTCTAAGCCAATTTGCTCACCCTCTGTTTTTTTTTTTTTTTTTTTTTTTTTTACTACCAGGCAGTGTGGGACATCGCCAGAATGAGCTCGGAGGGGATCGGGTAAAAAAAATTAAAAACAACAAATTGGCAACACTCCTTGCCGGGGAGTCGCCAATTTTCCTCTGGTCAAACCTAGTCGGCATCACCCCAACACCGGGCCACCCGGGAGACAGGGTTGAGACTTTGGACCAGATCCACGCGGGAGGAAATCCCACTTTTTCTGTCCCGCCTGTTCCCCAGCAGTAGTTTTATTTCATTAAAATTTCCCTGGATAATGTACAATCTTCTAACCTCCTTTTTATGACTGCAATTCTTTCCTCCTTCTTTCTTCCATCTCTACCAGCAAAACGCAGCGCCCCCGCCAGATCCTTTACCCCTTTAGGGAGGGCGGGGCAAAGCCCAGTGCACTTCAACACCAAAAGTTCTAGCGTCTCACCCTCACTATGGCATACGGCACAAAATATGTATATTTGTTAAAATTCAGCCCTATACGTCTTTGTAACACTCCCAATCTCGCCTCGAACAGCAAAAAACTTCCACACGAGTTATCAAACAGCTTTTCCTTTTTTATGCCCTGTTTTTGTGACCTGTACATCGTTAAAGCTGATTTTTCTTGCATTCTTCTCTCCCAGATTTCCCTTTTTGCCTCTTTCACCCCCTTTTTCACTGAACTGGTCTCATCAGCCCCATCACTATAGTATGCAGGTATATTTGAATGTCAGTTTTCGGGTTCGGTTTGTCCATTCTGTGTTTAAAGTTTTCATGTATACTTGCATACTCTCCGCGCCCACCGGGCATCATCCATTTCAGCTAACCTTCCTTCAAATTTCAATTTACCGATTGCCTTTCCGCTCTCAAAGGACGACCAGCCCATGTCCCCCTGCACTCCCTCCAACTGTGTTCTCGTACGCTCCCAGTGCTAACCTGCCTACGCTCCTTTGTCGAATTTCCAACTGATTGACCTTCTGATCTCATACGCAGTACCCCATTGCCAAAAGAGTCCTGGCGTCATTCTTAGGTAGCACAAAGTGGGCTCCTAAAGGTGGGCCGACGTGGATCCCACTTGGGCAGCCCACGTGTGTCCAACGTCAGCTTTGCAAGTCGGGCCACCCTGGGCTGCCTTGAGGGACCCACAAGAGGCATACTTAGGCAGCCCACGAAGGCCCTCGTCTGGGGCCCACAGGGCGCCTAGGTGAACAGCCCACATGCGCCCCCCTCGTGGAACCCACGGGAGGTCGCTCCGGGAACCTCATTTCGTTCGGAGTCATTTCATAAATCCCCTATGGTGCGGAGTATTGCAGTGCATACCAAATTGAGCATGCCTCACTTTCCTCGTGTGCCTACTGGAAATATTACCATTTGATAGAACAATAAAATGTCGAGTGCATAAAAACTTGGGCAATTCCAGTGTATGAATTGGAAAACAAAAACTATGCACATTTTCGTAGAAAATCCTGTTGGACAGGTATTCGGGATACATAGCCAGATTGAAACTTCTACAGACACCGAATTCTATAACAGATACTACACTGTGTTTCGAATTCGCCCCCAAATTCAAAACTCGGCGAAAAATATTCCACCCCACGTAAAACGACCTCAACATACACGCTGAGTAGTAGGTCAGTAATGAAGTTTAGCAACAGGGCTAAACAGTATCGCGATTCAAATGTATCGCGATAGTATTTTAGAGATACACCCGAGTATCTGTATCCCTGTATCGA